CCCCGCACCGCGCTCGGGGGAGCGGGTGCTCCCTGGGCGGCTGCACCCACCCCCATGGAGGCTTTTCCCGGTGCCAAACTGGAGCAGCACCGGCACCTCCCGCCCGTGGAGTGCCTGCCGGGCGCCCGCTACGGCGGCCGGAGTCACAGCGCCTGCGGGAACGTCTTCAACTCCTGGAACGACTACCTGGGGTTGGCCACGCTCATCACCAAGGCCGTGCGCCCCGGCAAGGGTTTCGGAGCCGAGCCCCCCTCGGTGGTGGTGGCGGCTGCCGTGCCGCCGGCCGAGGAGGAGGAAGAGGAGGAGGAGGAGGAGGAAGAGGCGGCGGGGCCGTACTTCGAGGGCGCGCTGGACTTGCACGACCTGGACCTGTGCGGGCATCACCACCACCATCATCATCACCACCACCACCACGGCGAGGGTCTGCTGGAGGAGCGCTTCGCCGACTTCAGCCCCTTCCCCGGACGCGGCGGTCCCGCCGCCGTCGTTTTCGATTGCTCGGGAGAACACCCGGGCCGGGAGGGCTCGCCCCACGCATGGGGCGGCGTGGTAGTGGCTGGCCGGTTACCGACCCACCCGCGGGTCTCCTCCCGGTTGCTCAAACCCGAGCTGCAGGTCTGCGTCTTCTGCCGAAACAACAAGGAGGCCGTGGCTCTCTACACCACCCACATCCTCAAGGGACCCGACGGCCGCGTCCTCTGCCCGGTGCTGCGGCGTTACACCTGCCCCCTCTGCGGTGCCAGCGGTGACAATGCCCACACCATCAAGTACTGTCCCCTCTCCAAAATGCAGGCGGCCAAACAGCTCAAACACGCCCGGACCGCCCTGGGGAAGAAGGGCCGTTAAGGCGCCGGGACCCCGGGGACGACGAGGGCTTCCTCCTGTCTTTTTGGGGCTTGGTTTTGGGGTTTTTTTTCTGGTTTTTTTTTGTTGTTGTTGTTTTTAAAGCAGATGGCGGTTTCGTTCTTTCACACGTTAATATATTATTAAAAGGCGGCGGCCGGCGCGCGCTGGAATTGCGCAGCTGAGATGCACTGTATTTGTTTATTGTAAGAAAAAAAAAAACCACACAAATATATATATATATGTGATTTTTACGGAAACGGAATTACGGCGAGACCTAACTGCGAGGAATGTGTGCGTGTGTGTGGGAGGGGGGGGTATTTAAAGCAAGAACCGGGCAGAGAAGGGGGTCCGGGGG